CCTGAGTCCTTCGGGAGTAGGGCGGTATAGAAATCTAATAAATAATAATAATAATAATAATAATAATAATAATAATAATAATAATAATAATAATATCTCTCGTGTTTTCGAGTCAAAGTATGGTCGGCACGGAGAGAGAGAGAGAGATGTTGATGGGCTATTGATGAAACTTTGAGATGGGACCCCAAAAAAAAATCAATAGGGATGATTGATCTCCGGTGCGTAAGGGGTGGGCAGTGAAAAAGGGGGCACAGCCATTTGCGCCACTCGGGTGCCCGAGGGCAACTAGGCAGGGTTATAAAGGGAAGAGCCTGGCAAAGCAGCAGAGGGATGCCAGGACAGGTTTCACCGCGACGCAGGTAAGATGGAAAATTTAGCACAGGTACGGACAGAGGACCGTTTCCGCAGGTGGGAAAGCAGGCAGGGGGAGGAAAAAAAAGGATGAAGGAAAATCCCATTTCTTCCAAGTTTTCGGCATCTCCTGGCGCTGAATTTGAACTGGGGGATGAGTTTGGTCTGTACGATACCCACCAGCAGCAATTTTGGGCTGAGCGAAAAGAACTTTTGCTCGCTTTGTTTGCAGGGCGTTTTGGGTTTTCTTGGAATATGTCAGGGGATTTTTTTTTTTCCCCCTGTTTCCTCGGCTTGGTCCAAAAATTAATTTAGGAGACGGCAGAGGCTGGGAGAGGCTTATAAATCTGCAGGTGGAGAGAGGTGCCCTCCTTCCCTCGATCGGTCTGGGTTGGATGTTTTAAAATAGACTGCGCTGGCATGCAGAGGTTCCGTTTTGAAAGTGCAATTAATAAGTTTTCACCCCTGAGTGTGGTAGTCACCTTTTTAAAGGCTGTCTAAGCTAATATATAAATCAAGTCGAGATCCTTCCTTCCTTATCCTTTTTTCCCTTTTTCCCTTTCTTTCTTCCTTCCTTCCTTCTTTCTTTCCTTCCTTATCCATTCATCTCTCCTTCCCTACCTTCCCTTCCTTCCTTCTTTCCCTATTTATCCATCCACTTCATTCTTTCCCTAACTCCTGTCTCCTTCCTTCCTTCCTTCCCTCCCTCCTTCCTTCCCTATCTATCCATCCATCTCCTTTCCTTCCTTTCCTATCTATCCATCCATCTCTCTCCTTCCTTCCTTCCCTACTTTCCTCTTCCCTTCCTTCCTTCCCTATCTATACATCTATTTCCTTCTTTCCCTAACTCCTGTCTCCTCCTTTCCTTCCTTCCTTCCCAATCTATCTATCCATCCATCCATCCATCCATCTTCCTTCCTTCCCAAACTATCCATCCATCTTCCTTCCTTCCTTCCTTCCTTCCTTCCTTCCTTCCTTCTTTCCTCCCTTCCTTCCTTCCCAATCTATCCATCCATCCATCTTCCTTCCTTCCTTCCTGCCCAATCAATCCATCCATCTTCCTTCCTTCCTTCTTTCTTTCTTTCCTTCCTTCCTTCTTTCCCAATCTATCCATCCATCCATCTTCCTTCCTTCCTTCCCAATCAATCCATCCATCTTCCTTCCTTCCTTCTTTCCTTCCTTCCTTCCCAATCTATCCATCCATCCATCTTCCTTCCTTCCTTCCTTCCTTCCTTCCTTCCTTCCTTCCTTCCTTCCTTCCCAATCTATCCATCCATCTTCCTTCCTTCTTTTCTTTCCTTCCTACCTGTAGAAAGACTCAAAACCTGATGAGTCATAAATCAGAGGAATTTAATCTGGAGGCTAAAACCTATGAAGAACGGTTGCAGGAAGTGGGCATGTCTGGTTTGATGAAAAGAAGGACGAGGGGAGACATGATAGCAGCGTTCCAGTATCTCAGGGGCTGCCCCAAAGAAGAGGGAGTCAAGCTCTTCTCCAAAGCCCCTGGAGGCAGGACAGAACAGAATAACGGAGTTGGAAGGGACCTCGCAGGTCATCTAGTCCAACCCCCTGCCCAAGCGGGAGACCCTTACGCCGTTTCTGACATTTGGCAGTCCAGTCTCTTCTTGGAAGCCTCCAGGGATGAAGCTCCCACAACTTCTGAAGGACAAGAAGCGACGGGTGGAAACTCATCAAGGAGAGAAGCAACTTAGAACGAAGGAGGAATTCCCTGACAGTGAGAACAATTAACCAGTGGAACAACTTGCCACCAGAAGTTCTGGATGCTCCAACATTGGAAGTTTTTAAGAAGAGATTGGACAACAGATTTGTCTGAAGTGGTGTAGGGTTTCCTGCCTAAGCAGGGGGTTGGACTAGAAGACCTCCAGGGTCCCTTCCAATTTGGTTATTCTATAATCTACGCAGATAACGTTTGTGGGTGCATCTACCCCAAATTGCTGTCATCTTTCTTTCTCTCTCTCTCTCTTTTTTACAGGGCCTGGAAAATCTCTGTGGTTTTGGGCGCCGGCTTCCCGCTTCCCAGCCTCTGTCTGATATGTTTGATATTAGGTTGTTCTACTACAAAACCCAACTAAATATCAAACATATTCTGATAGCGGCCAGGATCGTTCCACGGTCTTCCAGAGCATCCGCTGAAGAGACCTGGGTCTGTTCTGGGAGTTTTGAACCCTCTTTCTGGGTCTGGACTGGGTTTTTTCCGATCTGGGGTTGGGGGGGAGAATTGAATCCCCACCAGAAGATGGGAGGCGGGAGGAGGGGAATTAGGCCTGAAAGGTGGCTCAGTGGCTAAGACACTGAGCTTGTTGGTCAGAAAGGTCGGCAGTTTGGCGGTTCGAATCCCTAGTACGGGTCTCCTAGGGGGTTAGACTAGAAGACCTCCAAGGTCCCTTCCGACTCTGTTATTCTGTTAAAGGGGCCGTGATGGTTTGGGAGGGCTTTTAACATTTTTATTTTTATTTTATTTTATTTTATTTTATTTTATTTTATTTTATTTTATTTTATTTTATTTTATTTTATTATTTTATTTTATTTTATTTTATTTATTTTATTTTATTTTATTTTATTTTATTTTATTTTATTTTATTTTATTTTATTTTATTTTATTATTTTATTTTATTTTATTTTATTATTTTTATTATTCATTTCATTTCATTTATTTCTTTATTTTAGCCGCCCTGAGTCTTTGGAGTCTTCGGAGAGGGGCAGCATATAAATTGAATAAATTAAATTAAATTAAATTTCATTTCATTTCATTATTTTATTTTATTTTATTTTATTTTATTTTATTTTATTTTATTTTATTTTATTTTATTTTATTTTATTTGCCGCCCCTCTTATTTCAAAGCGACTCTGGATGGCTTTTCAACACTTTTATTTTTATTTTATTTGGTTCCTAAACGCCATCATTAAAAAAAAAAAAAACCAGCTTTCCTGGCACCCCTGCAGGTTCAATTTTTCTAACCGAGCCTACCCCGCAGGGCTGCTGGCAGGCACCAGCCCGAGATCCCAGCTCTGTTTGCAGACTAAAAAAAAAAAAAAAAGCAAATTTCTGCAGCGGAACAGTTGCTAAACGAATAGCTGTAAGTGGAAGATCTATAGAACGACGAAAATATATGCAATTTCTTGTCTTCGCCTGCCATTCCCATAATGGCCACAAGAGGGCATGCCAATGCTCCCATACAGTTTCTCTCAAGCTTGGAAAGCCACGATTTCTATTCGATTTTAGGGGGTTTGCACCCCCTTTTTGCCTCTAATAAGGATAGTGGGGCGTGTGAGATGCACCCGGGTGTATCCCCTGATTATTTTCATTTAGGCTAATTTTTGCAATTTCTTGTCTCCGCCTGCCCTACTCAAAGTGGCCACTAGAGGGCAGGCTATTCTTATCCTATATTGCAAGTCCTCTTTTCTTAAAGAGCTGCTAGATTTTTGCTTGCAAGCCCCAAGAGCTGAGGATGGGAGGTTGGGGGGGGGGTTAGGGGTCCTAATTTATTATTATTATTTTATTATTATTCAAACTTCTATACCGCCCTTCTCCTTTCGGACTCAGGGCGGTGAACAGCCAAAATAAAAACATTTATACGTAAAGTTACAGTTAAAAATAGATTTAAAATAATTAAATAAATTTGGGCTTTCTTGGGGGGGGGAAAAATTAAAACAGCTTTTGGATTCTTCGATGAAAGAAATATCTCGCGTGGTTTAAATCAACCGTGGCGTTGCTTCCCCCCCCCCCCCCCGAAGGAAATTGACGATCGGAAGGGCGGATGACAAAATACGATGTATTATTTGCTAATTTTAGAGGCATCTTTGAATCTGTTCCAAAGAGAGACTCAGAAGTTATTCCTTTTTGATTCTGTCCTTTCTTCTCTCTCTCTCTCCTCCTAATCTTGTTCCTTCCCGTTCTTTCTTTTCCCATCTCTTTCTTTCACTGTATTCTTAGATTTTATATTTTATTTTATGGTTGAAACTTAATAAAAGTTACAAACAAAACCAACAGAACTGTCCCCTTTTTTTCTCTAGATCCTACAGAACGGGACCGAATCTGAGATGCTAAACCGTGGTTTGTTTCATCGTGGTTTAGGAAACAAACCCCAAGGGGTTGGGGGGTTGGAACCACGAGCCATTTGTAACTCCGAACGGTCCTTCAGCAAACAGTCGTAAGTTGAGAGCCCTCTCTGTTGCAGCCGGAGGTGTCCGTGAAGCTGTGGGGCTGGAAACGACCCCCCAAAGGTCATCTAGTCCACCCTGCAGGAAAACCAGCTCCGAAATCTCCGGTGCTTGGCTTGAGGAAGACCATATGCCCTGCCCTCTCCGTGAACAAAGCTTTCACCCCACATCCTTGCCCCCCCCCATCGCCTATTTTTCCCACTTAATGAGGTCTATTATTAGCGGCCACCTGTCTCCCCATCGGGGCCAAATATGGCCATTGTCCTCACCCTCCAACCATCTCCCTGGGCCTCGGAGGACAATGGGAGAGGACAGGAGGGAGATTTTGGGGGTGGGTGGGGTGTGTGGGTCCCTGGAGAAAGATCTCGCCCCTCCCAGGGTGGTCAGATCCCAGAAAGGGAAGACTGGCGAGCCAGCTGGCAGGAGGGGCCCCCTATAAAAAGAGCCGAGGGGCAGTCACCGAATTGCAATCGCCCCCTCTCTGCCCCGTTTGCCCCATTGATCCCGGCTTCTTCGCCCGCGTGCCCACAGCCCTCTGGCACCATGGAAGCCATCAAGAAAAAGATGCAGATGCTAAAACTGGACAAGGAAAATGCCTTGGACCGGGCGGAACAAGCCGAGACAGAACAGAAACACACAGAGGAGAGGAGCAAACAGGTGGGGCCAGGATTAAACCTGGTTTAAGGAGACCGGGGGAGGGGAAAGGCGGTTTGAGGCACCTAGTGGCTGCTGGCTTCCCAAATTTAGACACCTCGGCTCGCCTGGATGAAAGCAATTCTCAGTTGGCTTGGATCTGTCCTACCTCGTAGGGCTGTTGTGTAGGTATATGGACAGACAGGAAGGAATAGTTCGGGGCCACCTGTAGGTTTTTCTTCCTTTTTTTTTCTGGCTTGGGAGCAAACGATCAATAATTCTCGCTTTGGGGTTCAACACACCAAATTCGGCTAAAATCCGTCGGTGTTTTTTTCCCCGAAGTCCTGATAAAAAAGCCTCCCCCCAAAAAATTGGCTTAGATTTGTCCTATAAAGGAATCTGGGATTTAGAATAAAATAATTTCATGGGTCTCAATGCCCAATTTTTGAATAATTGCATTAAGAGGAACCCTTAAAAGTCTAAAAAAATGGTAGCAGGAATATTGATTAAAATTCTTCCGGCGATTCGAAGCTGCGCTGAGCTTCATGCGAAAGGAAAAGTCTCCAATTTTTTTACTTTTTGACGTCAGAGGGCTGGAGAAAATATTGAAAAAGGGGCAAAGAAACTTTATTTTTCCATCTGTCCTTCCTAAGCTGATTGACAACATAGTTAAATATAAACTGGATGGATAGATCCATTTGTAAAATTTGCCCAGTAAAAATGCCCACCACTGAGTTACTGGTCAAACTGGTGCAGAAGGGGAAATTTGAAAAGATCAGTCTTCTAATTTTCAAATTTTTTTCTTATTCATACGTTGGAGGGGAAAAAAAAAAAAGAAGAGAGCACACTGATTGGATTTGAATTCAATTTAGCCAGGCGAATGAAGAACTCATGAAAAGTTTAATTGGCAAAATAAGTTGAAAAGCCGGGCAAATTAATTTCACCGAAAACCTTCATTATTTTATAAAACAGAAACGAAAGGCTTAATTCTTGGATGAGCGGCTTGGCTTGCCCTCGTGGGAAACGTGCAAACGATTTGGGGAATAACGTTTGTCAGACGTGACTTCAGGAAAAGAAAAGAAAAAGTAATTTTTAAATGGCCTTAAGTGACGTATAAATAGAGGAGTGATAAATCTATTTTCTCTCGAAGCCGCATCAACAGAAGGGTAACCGAGGGAGGCAACGGATCTATTTTCTTTTACTTTGGATGGGCCAAACCTTTTAAGGTTCTGACTTCCAGGAGGTTTAAAAAAAAAAAATGAGAAAAAAAATTGGCATGCAGTCAGAGAAAGGAAAGGAGGCTGAACAGGAGATTAAGAATTAATCTGAGCTGGAAAGGATGGAAAGCACTGGCATCTTTCAGCCTCGGGCAAAGGCAATTGAGGGTAGATACGATGGCATTTGTGGTTTAAATTTTTATTTCTGTATTAAAGAAAGATTTCCGTGCTGCCCATCTCGCCACAAGGTCTTTGCAAAAAACAGCAGAAGGAAGATCAGGGGAAAGATTTCTTCTCATTCCTTCCAGAGGGCAGGAGAGAAAATTAGGGAGTTGAGTTAAGTTAAGTTAAGTTAAGTTAGTAAACCTAAAATTTAACTTGAGTTAAGTTAGTAAACTAACCTAAAATTTAAGTTAAGTTAGTAAACTAACCTAAAATTTAACTTGAGTTAAGTTAGTTTAAGTTGAGTTAAGTTAGTAAACTAACCTAAAATATAAATTGAGTTAAGTTAGTAAAGTAAAATAAAATTAAGTTGCATTGCGTTACGTTAGTAAAGTAAAAAAAATTAAGTTAAGTTAGTAAAACGAAATTTAAGTTGAGTTGCGTTAGTACAGTAAAATAAAATTAAGTTGCATTGTGTTAAGTTAGCAAAGTAAAATTAAGTCAGTGAACTAAGATAAACTAAGATTTAAGTTTGAGTTGAGTTAGTAAAGTAAAGTAAAATTCAAGTGGACTTGAACTAAGTTAAATTAGTAAAGTAAAATTAGGTAGTGAAGTAAAATTAAATTAAGTGAAGGCAATTTATATTAGGAATTTGTTTCCCCTAAGACTAAAGAGTGGCTGGAGAGTGGCAGGAATGTCCCACTAAGGCAATGGCCTCTGTCTTTGAATGAGGAGCTGGCCAGTCACTTGGCATGGATGCTGGAATTTGAAGACCAGCCTGAGGAAGGGTTAGACTAGATGGCCTCAGGTAACCTGGCCAACTGTGGGACGGTAAATTAATTGATTGGGCTTAGCCACAAGACTGTTTCTCCAGGGATGGGAGGAGGCTATGAGAGATAGGGAGGGAGGAAAAGAGAGAGAGAGAGAGTGAAAGAAAGAAAGAAAAAGAAAGAAAGAAGAGAAAGAGAGAAAGAAAGAAAAAAAAGGAAGGAAGAAAGAAGAAAGAAAGAAAGAAAGAAAAAAGAAGGAAGGAAGAAAGAGAGAGAGAGAGAGAGAAAGAAAAGGAAGGAAGGAAGGAAGGAAGGAAGGAAGGAAGGAAGGAAGGAAGGAAGGAAGGAACCCTCATCTATAACCCCTTTTTCCTCTTCTTCCTCTCCTCCTGCAGCTGGAGGATGAACTGGTGGCCATGCAGAAGAAGCTGAAGGGGACGGAAGACGAGCTGGACAAATACTCCGAGGCGCTAAAAGATGCTCAGGAGAAGCTGGAAGTGGCCGAGAAGAAGGCGGCCGACGTACGTACCCAAAATGGGGGAGTGGGCTGGGTGGGGGCTGCTGGCTAGGAGAAGCCTAAGGACCGTCCCTGCAAGACTGGGCTGGACTACAATACCCAAATGCCCCAGCCGAGTCTGGAGGGAGCGCGGTCCTCTTGATAGGTAGTCCAACAATTTGGGGTGCAACTTCCCTCTCTAAAAATGCAGTGGTGAAGCGTCCCGTCCTAATGACCGTACCCAAATTTATCCCTTTTATTTTTGTGCTGCGGTTGTTCAGTGAATCACGCGGTCGTTAAACAAATCCGGTTTCCCCCCCCCCCCATCGACTTTGCTTATCCGGCTGGGAAGGTCCCAGAAGGGGGAATTACGTGACCCCAGGATGCGACGCTGCAACCCGTCGTAAATGCAGGCCGGCTGCCCCGTCGTACAATGGGGGGGCAGAAGTCACTGAACCGATGTCTCACTTAGCGACATAAATCCCGGGCTCCGTTGCGGTCATAAATCGAGGACCGGCTGTGTTCCTCAAGAATCTTGAAGTCTCCAGCGAGGAGGAGGAAAAATAACAGTGTTCTTCGGCATGTGCAGAGTGAAAACTTATATAAATATATATATATATACACATACATACAGTAGGAAATTAACAGTCAAGAAACGGCCACCCTCGACGTCTGAAAATAACCTTATCTGCCCCAAACACATGTTGTGGTAAAAGCTACATGGGGTTAAGGAAGGCCTGCCCAGGGTGCCAGCTGTGGGGATCTCGCTGGCACCCGCAGCTCCTCGCTCGGACCGTAGACACATCGCCAGCTGCCCATTCAGGCTCTCCAGCTTCCTTCTCCGTCTCCTGCTTGGAAAAGGATTCTTAATATTTGGACGTTGGGTGGTGACCGGCCTGAAACCAGCAAACCGCTGGCCCTTAACACAAAGAGGATATATAGGATAATGTAGGATGTAGAAAATAGAATGTGGAAGAGAATGGAAGAATATAGAAAACAAGAGAAGAGAAGAGAAGAGAAGAGAAGAGAAGAGAAGATAAAATAGAAGAGAAGAGAAGAAGAGAAGAGAAAATAGAAGAGAAGAGAAGAAGGGAAGAGAAGAGAAGAATAGAAGAGAAGAATAGAAGAGAAGAGAAAATAGAAGAGAAGAGAAGAGAAAATAGAAGAGAAGAGAAAATAGAAGAGAAGAGAAGAAGAGAAGAGAAGAGAAAATAGAAGAGAAGAAGAGAAGAGAAGAGAAAATAGAAGAGAAGAGAAGAGAAAATAGAAGAGAAGAGAAGAAGAGAAGAGAAGAGAAGAGAAGAGAAAATAGAAGAGAAGAAGAGAAGAGAAGAGAAAATAGAAAAGAAGAGAAGAGAAGAGAAGAGAAAATAGAAGAGAAGAGAAAAGAAAATAGAAGAGAAGAGAAAATAGAAGAGAAGAAGAGAAGAGAATAGAAAATAGAAAAGAAGAGAAGAGAAGAGAAAATAGAAAAGAAGAGAAGAGAAGAGAAGAAGAGAAGAGAAGAGAAAACAGAAAAGAAGAGAAGAGAAGAGAAGAAGGGAAGAGAAGAGAAGAGAAGAGAAGAAAAGAAGAGAAGAGAATAGAAAATAGAAAAGAAGAGAAGAGAAAATAGAAAAGAAGAGAAGAGAAGGGAAAATAGAAGAGAAGAGGAGAGGAGAGAAAAGAAGAATAGAGAAGACAAGACAAGACAGGAGAATTAGAGGAGAGGAGAGGAGAAGAGGAGAGAGTAGAGTAGAGTAGAGAAAATAGAGAAAATAGAAAACAGAGAATATAAAGAATATAGAATACAATACAATAGAATAGAATGCAATACAATATAATACAATACAATACAATATAGAAAATAATACAATACAATACAATACAATATAGAAAATAATAGAATAGAATATAGAATATAGAATAGGAAATAAGAATAGGAAATAAATAGAATAGAAGAATATAGAATAGAAGACTATAGAAAATAATAGAATACTAGAGAACAGAATATAGAATAGAAAAATAGAATAGAAAATAAGAATAGAATATAACTAGAATAGAATTAGAATAGAATATAGAATATAGAACAGATTCGAATAGAATCACGGACTTGGAAGGGACGCTGGGAGGCCATCTAGTCCAACCCCCTGCTCAAGCCAGAGACCCCAGACCATTTCCGACCAGTGGCTGCGCAAGTCTCTTCTCTAAAAGCCCAGGCGTGCCCTCCTTCTTCGATTTTGGCAGCCGGAGCTTCTGCGCTGCCTATAAATAATAGAAGACGGACGGAGGGAGAATGTCGGTTCCAGCGATGAGAGCAGGGAAGATACGATACGCCGCCGTGCAGCCCCCCCCCGGGGGGGAGAGCCGGAGCTGCTCGTCGTAAAAATGTTAGCGGGCATTTCCTTGGCAAATGCCAGCCTCGGTTCTGTCCCGGAGGGGCGGCCGAGTCATCTGTCAGTATGCCGGGTGCAGCTGTTGTGTGACATTCAGAAGGGATCAGTTGTGTACAGATTTATCACCCCAAAGTATTTGGATGACAGACCTATGGGCTGTCATCGCCTCCGAGGGGGATTCCTTCCCGCTTCCCGCTTCTCCCTGGAGGGGGCGCCGTTGGGCTATTCTGGGGAGGGGGTGTGTGCTTCATTACAGCTCGTCCTCGGCATTACGGCCACGACGGAGGCCAACGTTTCTGCGGCTAGGTGAGACATTGGTTCCGTGAGTCGTGTCCCCTTTTCACGACTGGTTGTTAAGTGAATGATGCCGTCGTTAAGCGAGTCAAACAGTCGTTAAGCGAATCCGGCTTCCCGTTGCTTTGTTAGACAGTCGCGAAAGGGGAATCCTACAACTCTCCCCCAAATGCCGCGACCCTCATACATACGAGTCAGTCGTCGAGCGTCCGAATTTTGATCACGGAACTGCGGTGGTCGTTAAGTGTGAAAATACAGCCCCGAATTCCCCAGAATTCTGGGAGTGGAAGTCCACAAGTCTTTAAAACGGCCAACTGGTTTAAATCTAGACCAAGGTTTCTCTATCTGGACCGCTTTCGGATGTTTGGACTTCAACTCCCAGAATTCCCCAGCCCCAGGAATTCTGGGAGTTGAAGTCCACAAGTCTTTGGCTGCATTCGGATGGGAGGACTTCAACTCCCAGAATTCCCCAGCTAGGGGAATTCTGGGATGTGAAGTCCACAAGTCTTTAAAGTGGCCAAGTAGTTTAACTCTAGAATCTAGATCAGTGTTTCTCAACTTTGGCCGCGTTCGGATGGGTGGACTTCAACTCCCAGAATTCCTGGGGCTGGGGAATTCTGGGATTTGAAGTCCCCCCAATCTGGAAGTTGCCAGAAGTTGAGAAGAGCTGAGCGAGAGACGTTTGGCGTGTTTTCTCAGGCATCCCAGCCATGCAGAGAGGAGATCTTGAAGAGGGTGAGAAGCGTCTCAAGAGATCAGCCTGGGAGGGCGAGAAATATTTGGCGCTTCTCGGACGCTAAGTGTAAAGCCGGGCTAAGGAGGGCTGCCGGGAAGAGGGTGCAGGGAAGACATTTTCCAGGGAAGCTCCCCTGCGGCTGACCCCTCTTGTCAATTTTGGGGAGCGTCGAATTAAAAACTCTGAATAAGGAGGAGAAAATGGAGCAGTTTTTAAAAAATTGTATCTCTGTTTGTCTATGTTTATCCCTCCGTCTTCTTTTCCTCCCTTCTCTCTCTCTCTCTTAACCATCTATTCTTCCTTCCTTCCTTTCTTCCTTCTTTCCTCCCCCCTCCCATTTTTCCTCCCTCCCTCCTTCCCTCCCATTCTTCCTTCCTTCTTTCCTCAGTCCTTTCCTTCCTTCCTTCCTCAGTCCATTCCTTCCTTCCTTCTTTCCTCCCTACCCCCATCATTTTTCCTTCCTTCCTTCTTTCCTTCCTTCCTTCCTCCCTCTCATTATTCCTCCCTCCTTCCCTCCTATTCTTTCTTCTTCCCTTCCTCCCATCATTTTTCCTTCCTTCCTTCCTCAGTCCGTTCCTTCCTTCCTTCCTTCTTTCCTCCCTCCCTCCCATCATTTTTCTTTCCTTCCTTCTTTCCTTCCTTCCTTCCTCCCTCCCTCCCTCCCATTTTTCCTCCCTCTTTCTCTCCCCTTCTTCCTTCCTTCCTCCCTCCCATCATTTTTCTTCCTTTCCTTCCTTCCTTAGTCCGTTTGTTCGTTCGTTCGTTCCTTCTTTCCTTCCTCCCTCCCATCATTTTTCCTTCCTTCCTTCCTTCCTCCCTCCCTCCCTCCCTGCTTCCTTCCTCCCATCATTTTTCCTTCCTTCCTTCCTTTCTTCCCTTCCTTCCCTCCTCCCTCCCTCCCTCTCTTCCATCTGTCTCTCTCTATCATCTGTCTATTATCTATTTATCCCTTCACCCCTGCTCTCTCATCTACCATTCTCAATTTATAATGGGTTATGGGCATCCTTCCCAAATTCTACTTTTGCATTTTTGGGTGTCGTCCAAGCACAGCAATAGAACTCAGGCTAACCCCAGCCTGATTCAGGAAAGTTTCACGACTGTCCATCAAGCAAAAGGATCATGGTCGTATATTTCTCATCGAGAGGAAAAAAAACCAGTGGTGAAATCCAATTTTTTTTTTACTACCGGTTCTGTGGGCATGGCGGGGAAGGATACTGCAAAATCTCCATTCCCTCCCCACTCCTGGGGGAAGGATATTGCAAAATCCCCATTCCCATCCCACTCTGGGGCCAGCCAGAGGTGACATTTGCTGGTTCTCCGAACTGCTGAAAATTTCCGCTCCCGGTTCGCCAGAACCTGTCAGAACCTGGAAAAAAACCCCAACGGTTTTCCGTTTGCAAACAGTGATGCCACCCCTTCAGACACAGCAATGTTCCCACAGGGCACAACGTAGACACGAAAACATCCCTGACACTTAAAAAAAAAAAATGATTACAGCTAAGCTTTAACAGACCGCAAACCTGCTCTTCTGGCTGCTTTTTTTTTAACCTCCCACCCCCACGTATAAATAACGCGGTGAAAAACAAACCAGTAGCAAAGAGATTTTGAGATCTTCCACCG